ATGTGACAAAAATTTAAAATTTCATTCGTCACTTTTGTTTAGGTGGCGAGTGATTTTTTTAATTCTAAAATAAAATAGAAATCTAAATTTTGATTGGTCGAAAATATACCTTTTCTTAAGTGGCGCCCCCAATGCTCTCCAAAAATGCCTACTTTATTTATATATATTAGATTAGATTAGATTGGCATTTTCTAGCAAAATTTATTGAATTGGAGGGTCAATAATTTTCACCATATAAAATAAAAAGGCTATTTTTATGGGTCCAATCTCCCATGAATCATTCTCTACGTGAAATGGTATGATCCACTTATTCTATTGGGCCCAAATTATGAATAAGAATCAGTGGAACCAAATTATAAAAAAGAAAAGTTCAGTGGAAATTATTTGGGGCATTAGCTGATTGATCCACTTGCTTTATTAGGCCCAAATCATGAACAAAAATTGGTGGAACCAAAATTATAAGGATTAGTAGAGATCATTTGAGGCATTAGCGAATGGCCTTAAATGTATTACTAATTAATGCCCGAGCTATGCTCGGGTTTTCCATTGGATACATGGTTGGATTATCCGATTATTTATATGAATAATATGAAAAATAAATTTGTATAATAACTTACTTAGTCGCCAATAATTGGAATTATCAATATGTAATATACTTTTTTTTTTCTTCTACGATCAAATTGAAAAGAAGATTATGTAAGTTAAAAAGAGAAAAGTCTATACAAGCCCATTTAAAATTGAAATCATTTAAGTATATTCGGAGAAGGGTTTTTTCCAATGAGAGAGCACATTTGGTGGCAGGTGCGATGCCGATAGTATTAAAACTTCACAACTAATATATGTATTTGGGCATGCACGATCTTCTGAAAACCCAGTCCTGATTTCATGTATTTTACCTTTTGAATTAACCTTATCACTAGATCAAGCATTTTAAATTGTTTGGTAATGTCATCATTTTAGTATTTTACACATCATTTCAAAAATCCATAAAATTTATAATTTTTATTTATTTGAATATGATATCTCTATACTCCTTAGATCACATAAGTCTAGCTCTTTTTTAACTTACTTCTCTCTATTAAAACAAGAATAGAGAGATAATAGAGAGAAGTATAATATGGAGTTACGATATTTTTGGAGTGACTTTATTGTTTTAGATCGAGTGTGCCTTCTTATTTCTCCGAGATAATATTGATAGATGTCATCATAGTTTACGTATGTAAAGATGTAATCCGTCTCACCAAAGAGAAAAGGTTCATTCAAATTTAGAAGAAAGTTCATCATGCCGATGAACAAACTAATAACAATTGTCTTTTGCTACAATTTTCAGCTACTACCGTGTACACATCGACAGATTGAGTGTGTGTTTAGGTTTCTTAACAAACTTAATAAATGTATAATATTACACAACTACACAAGTGATATATCGAACTAACCACGCCACAACCAAAACTTGACCTAATGTATCGTTTTTTTGACGAATCAATGCTCTTTCGAATCACCACTAGTCATAGGCATTTAACTCTTTCAAAATATTTGTATTAGTGGACCTTAATATATTATTATAAAGAATTTATAATATGAATAATGCTACAATTAATAATGTTGAATGATACATAACTTTTCAAAAGCTTAAAAGCCGTTCCATAAAATATGTTTAGAAAGCTAAATATAAAAATGCTAATAAAATACGGTGTATAAGATTAAGTATTTACATTCAACACAATTTTTTTCCAGAAATTCTGAAATTACAAGCTAAGTTTCGTCGTATTTTCTCACAAAATTGAAGTTTATATAGTGTATTTTACTCATCAATCTTAAAAGATAAAGTTACAAACTGAATAGATGTGTATTATATATAAAGAGGATTAATATATGTGAATATGGCATGAGGCATGAATTTTTATTCAATTAAAATGAAATGTTAGTTACTAAACTACATTTATAATTGATAAAATAAATAAATAAATAATTAGTAATAGATAACATTAATCACTTGATTTGTAGAACTTTATTTCCTTGAATCAAGGTGGAAAATAGAAAGACCAACTACTCTTGGAAGTTTGTAACATACATATATTACTTTTATTGGTCATATTAGATTAGTAGTTCAAAGGTATGCATATAAATCACTATCGCTAAGCTAAAGTATACAACACGATTCACATTTTCTTTTTGAAGTATGAGACAATTAACAGAATATTTCGATGCTAACTTGTGACTTTAGGTAACACAGCATACCCTTAAAATCAACGAGTTGCAAATGCTTGCTTATAAGTAGTAATTGCTCAACTAGAAAAAAAAACATAAAACACATACAAGCATATTATCCCGTGTACGCTAACACAAATAATGTGATGTTTTAATTACTGGTGGATCTTACACCAAAATTAGAGGAGATTCGAGGTTTAAACTTCAACCTCTAGTCAAAATTTTTGATCCATACTGTTACTAGCCGCATAATTTTAATAGAAACAAAACTGTCGAGAAAAAACACGTAACTAGAAAAAAAAAACCAAGTTGGATTAAGAAAAGAAACCGAAAAGTTAGATAAAAAAAAAGCAAATAAAAAGGCGAGAACGAAGAAATAAAAAAAAGACGTGGGAAGTACAAGTGAGACAGATAAAGAGCATGGTAACCCTCTTGTGCTTAGCATGCATGGAGGATGGAATTCACATGGTTTGCCCATCACTATATAATTTCACTTTCCTTAATGTTTGCCACCTTTATTGTTCTTTCTTTTTTTTTTTCCTCATTTTTTAAGCTAACAATTTTAATTTATAGCAATTGGTAAATAACTTATTAGTTTACACATTTTCTTGCTTTTTTGCTAACTTTTTTTTTAAAGGGAAATTTTTAAACCTAATTGTTAGATGCATAAATTGATCTAATCTGAGATGCATGGTAGGTGTGTTGGTACGTCAAGGAATTTGTGGACCTTTTTTTACCTTTTCCTTTCAAACAATAATCATACCATACATAACATGTTTACTTTGATAAGTCAATAAAAAAACAAATACTCCATAATATAACCGTCAACATTATTCATTTTAGAAAAATGATATGAAATTGAAATTACTGGGGTGCATCGTGTTATCACATAATCCTTCGTCATTCCTTGTTAGGTCTCTAGATACTTATTAGAAGTATCATTTTTGTTTATGCATGTCAAATGAACCTTGACAAAAAGTTTTTAAATCAATTTTATACATAATTTTTAAGAATAATATATATTGATATTGGGAAGCGAAGTTGAGAAGTTCATGACCATTAAAAAATAGGACATGAATGTATGTATGATGAGCAATGTATAAAAATCATCAATCTCTATTAGGTAAATTATAAGTAACATCACACATAATGTGTTATAGCTATTGAAAAATATTATTTTCACACAAAGTAATTTTCTTTTTCTTGCTTGTCAAAGTTACATCACAAAACGTACAATATTATTGTAGACTTTTAGCCTCTTGTAATTTCAAATTTTGTGGGGTGATTGCAACCTAAACTGTAACACATTAAGGCCTTATTCTTTTAAGTTGTTCTGTTTTACTCTGCTGAAATCTGTTATGCTTTGTAATGCGATAGATAGAGGGTTGGGGCTATCACATTATCCATACATCGAATAGTGGGAGTTATTAAACAATTAGATTAGTAATTGAATTGGTGGTTATTAGTAACTCAAGAAGTACGTGCCACACTACCACCTACTCACATTCACATGTCTCTATTGAATCCAAATTAACAAGAGGTGGGGATTTCGTAAACGTGTGGAGCATAGCATAGCTCCCAAACATTGAAATTGACCCACCTGGATCCACAACTCTACACAACTAACTACTCATAACATACTATGTTACTTATTTTTTCATCGTTTTGATTTTTGTATTATTCATTTATCTACATATTTCATTTCTAGTTTTAATTACACATGATCTAGCCAGAAACCTTACAATCGCCTAATTTAATTATGTTTTCAGAAAATCATATTTAAATACAGAGTAAATAATATACTACGTAAATATTGAAACTTTACGTTACTTAACATACAAGTATACAACCATGAAAGCCATAATACAACTATACAAGTATGATAAGGTTAAAAAAAATGGAGGAAGTATTAAACAACGATTCAGGATGGTTGGTGATTACTATGATGGGCCAAAGATACAATCACTTAAAGGTCATTCTTTACAGCAAATAAATTTCTAACTTTAGTAAGCTATAAATATCAATCATATATATAGAATGGTGTAGGCAGCCTTTTAACTTTTTAAGTAACTAGCTAGTTTCAAGAATAACACTTTAGAGATTACATTCCAATTTGTACACAGCTATAAATGATACTCTTGCTATCAGACTCTGAGATTCATATCTACTATTGCAATTTTGCAATTTATGCATCTTTCACTTTTATTTTTCCCTCCCTCTAGTGTACGGGCAGTTTATGGTTAATTTGCCTGTAGTCTTGGTGTCTCACTACTATTGTGATGAGTCATTTTGCAAACTGTATCATCATATTCTCTACTAGAGGCACTACGACTTTTAACTTTTACAGAGTGAAACATCAATATAATATAACAAGTCTAAGGGCTTTGAGTTGAACTAAACTAAATATTTTATAAGAGAAGGAAATTAGGAATTGAATTGAACTGAACTGAACTGATTGAAGCTGAATTGAAATAAAAATAAGGTGAAAAGGACAGACCCTAAGGGCCTGTTCTCTTACGTTGAAATTCAGTTCAGTTCAGTTCAGCTCAATTCAGTTCAGTTCCTTTCCTAATTTCCTTCTCTTATAAAATATTCAGTTCAGTTCAGTTCAGCTGAGTTCAGTCAATGAGAACAGACTCTAAGTAAGTACGGAGTAAGTAACACTGTAACAGTTACAGATTGATTTTACTAATAACAGAAGAGTAAAAGTTTGGTATAAAAGTATTAAAGCACCAAGTTTCCATGTTAGAAGGAGAATTTAAGGGCCCAATCTTAAAAGAGAAATAGATGGCTAAATTAAATGACCATTATTTTTGGTGGGGCTACTTTGGTATGATGACATTAGTTATTTAGACTTGTTACAACTATTGTTAGATCACGTGATTATGCTACAGCAAATTACAAATATCTGCCGTCTTTTTACATTCCTTGTTAATAATTTTCTCGCTTCATTTCATTCCAACAATCTTTCTTCCTTTCTTTCATTCTTCTCTTAATCTTGCAATGTTTCAGCTTCTCAGATTACCCACTTAAATCTTTATCCTTTTCCCATCGTAAGTCCTCGAGTTCTTTTTTTAATCGCAACGTATTCTTTTATGTATCAGTCGGTTAGTCCTTTAAATGATTAAATCAAATATTGAGAATGTTATGTTACCTTGTGTTGCTTATAGTTGGTCAGAAATGCAGTTATCTTAATGCTAAAACGACGTCTTAAAGTTTATGATTTCATGTGGGTTCCCCATAAAGTTGCTAAATTATGTTCATTATTTATGCTTCGAAAAAAGACTTTTCTTAACATTATTATAGTATTTGTTCTTTGTTTGCCTAGGTGAAGTGAATTTTTTTTGACATATTCATCTGGGTATCTTCAAAAATTGCCTCTTGAATCTCGATTCTTGTTCTAGAAGTTCTTAACACACTCATAAATCCCACTTCAAATCTGGGTTTAATTGAAGATTTTATTTCATACCCAGAAAATTATGGACAATACTAATAATAATTGCTGGGGTTCCAACAATAACAAGGTACTTATTATACTCCACCCATTTAATTTAATTTCATCCTTATTTTATTTTATTTGGACTTTTTTTTTTTTTTTTGATGTATTTTTAATTTTTTATAATTTTATTTATTGTAGGACAAATCTTGGAGAGCAGTATTAATATTAGCATATCAAAGCTTGGGAGTTGTATATGGAGATTTGAGTATTTCCCCTTTATATGTGTTCAAGAGTACATTTGCAGATGACATTCATCATTCTGAAACAAATGAAGAAATTCTGGGTGTTCTTTCATTTGTATTTTGGACATTAACTTTACTTCCTTTGCTTAAGTATGTTTTCATAGTCTTAAGAGCAGATGACAATGGTGAAGGTATGTAATAATAATTTTATTTATAATCAAAGTTATAAAACTTAGATTTATACCATGTTTGTTGTTAATAATATCGTGTATGAAATATTTGCAGGTGGTACTTTTGCTCTATATTCATTGATATGTAGGCATGCCAAAGTGAGTCTTTTGCCAAATAGACAGGCATCAGATGAAGATGTTAGTACATATAAGATGGAGCATCCTCCTGGGAGTAATAGTAATTCTAAGGTTAAAATGGTGCTTGAGAAGTATAAATGTTTGCGTACTGCATTGCTAGTGTTGGTTCTTCTTGGTACTTGTATGGTTATTGGAGATGGACTCCTTACTCCTGCTATCTCTGGTATAATTTTCTTTCTTTTGGTTGCTTTAATTTATTCGTGGTTTATGTTACTCGGACTCTTTGTTTCACCTCGAGGACCTGTGTTGAATCCTTGACAAACATGTTACTTCCTTCAAAAGAATTAAAATGAAATAGCCGAATTTAACTGTTTGACACATTTATGTCTGAGCATGGATTTTGGGTGTAATTTGGCTCCCTGTACATTTTTTTTTATTTTGTTCAGAAACAATTGCCTTAATTTTGCTAAATGAATGTTTTTGAAGAGAGTTTTTCTTTGAAAATGTAGTTTAATCTTCTTCAATATGAGTGGGTTATTAGTTCTTCAGGTTCCCATTTTGACATTTTCTCCCCTGCTTATGTTGTTTCCTCTTTTAATGTAGTTTTCACTGCTGTTTCCGGCCTCGAGTCTTTGATGTCCCCTGAGAATCACCAATGTAAGCCTTCAAAGCTCTTCTGGCTGAATTACTAGTCTGTTTGATTATTGATTTTAGTGACTTCCAATCACAAATTACAAGTATCCAAGTTGATTATTGTTCATGAATTTTGAAGTCCAATATCTGTAAAATGTCATACTCACGCTGAATATTAGCCTTTGCAATGGAGCATAACGTTGAAAAGTGCACAATTGCCTATTTAATTTGACATGTATCTTATTTTGACAAATTACTTTCCAGTCAATATTTTCCTTCTTCTTTGTGATAACTGTTTTGTAGTATAGGATTGTCTTAGCTTGGTTGTTTTTGTTAGGCACATACACGACTTTTCTTTGGATCTTCGTCATTGTTTTTTCTCGTGTTAATTTTCTGTTTTTTTTTGTTGAACAATGATGTATAATATGCGTTCTGAATTTTATTGATATTGAAAATGACTGTTGAAAATGTATTTTCCACCTATCATATATGCTGCAAAACATGCGGTCTACGTTTTAATCAATTAGTATGTCATTTTCTTCCTAGTGTTCTTCCCATTTTGTATCAGAAATTGAAGTCCTTATGAAATATATGAGACCCTGTCCAAGAATTTTCAATAAACCCTGCCAAGTCGGCTACGAAATCAGAGCAACAATTGATGGAGTATCTTCTTAGATTTTGATAGAGAACATAGAGTCATACTATATACTGTACTACGTAGTTTGTATTAGGAGTTTAGGACAGTCCTCTCTCACATGATTAAAATTAAGCAAAAACCGTATGGAAGTTAATTTAAAGAAATGCTCTTGTAAATTATTACATCATACATAAATTTAAAATCTACATCATACAACTTATTGATCAAAATTATATATGTTGACTGGAAAAAAAAAAGTATCAAATGTGGATTGTGCCCTCTTGCTTTGGGGTGGTTTGTGTTCCTTTGATGTTCAATGTGTCGGTAATTTGGTATAGGTGTTAGTGTGCCCACTACTTTGAGTGGTGATAATATGTGTGGACAAGCATACACATTGTGGTGGATACTTACTAGGTAGCATGGGCTGACACACCTATGATAATTCTTTGGAATTTGGAGGACTCAATTCTCAGGATTTCCAATTAAAAAATCAAAGATGGGTTTTGGTTAGCATGCTGCAATACCCATTAAGAGGACGCGTCTGATCTTTTCATTGTCTCTAAATAATGTCACATTTGATTAAGAGCCATTTTTAAGAATACGAGTTAAATTGAATAGCTAATCCTTCTGTATAGTCTTTCACTGGGATTCCTCTTCTTAGTTTCGTTAAGAATAGTATGGGAAAGGAAAAATCGATTTCCTAAGCTTAGGAAGTGATTTGTTATTTTGGGACAGCCAATAATAGAAATCATAGGCTTGTTAGGGACAAGGGAGTATAGTAAAATTAATACTATTTGATATTTTGATGAGGAAGTTCTGTTGGCTTATACAAGTGCAGCATAGTTTTATTTCCAAGAATCTCATTTTAATAGCAAATAGGAATTCAACCTTATTTGGAAATAGCTTTTTGACTTCCAAGCTCAACACCTTGATTTTATTACACTTTCTTTTGCAGATGCTGTGATCCCAATCACATGCTTCATTTTAGTCTGTCTTTTTGCTCTTCAACACTATGGAACACATCGAGTTGGCTTCGTCTTTGCACCTATAGTTTTGATCTGGCTACTATGCATAAGTGGTCTGGGGTTATATAATATTCTACATTGGAATCCACAAGTTTATCGAGCTATTTCACCATACTACATGTACAAGTTCTTGAAGAAAACCACGATAAGTGGATGGATGTCTTTAGGAGGTGTTCTGCTCTGCATTACAGGTAAACTTACAATCTTGTTTACTCAAGCACTGTGTCTATTATCACTTATCAGTTATCACTTCATCAGTCTAGGGCTCGCCAACACCTACAATCTTTACAAAGACTCGTTTCTGACCAATTTCTCATTCACACCCCTACCATCAGTACCTTGAGTTATGTAGTGCATCTAGTCTCCTTACACTTTGTTTTTGATTATAACCGAATTGAGTCTTTAAGTTTACACAACAGGTTTCTAACTGTCCTCTTTGCAGGTTCGGAGGCAATGTTTGCTGATTTAGGACACTTCTCTTACATGGCAATTCAGGTACATATTGTAATCTCCTTGTTTGACTGTTCATTCAGTCATTTTCAGCATCATGTCTGGTGTCTATGGTTAGTCTGCAACTTCATGCACTCAGCTACAAACAGAAATTCTGATCCACCAATTCTTGCAGATTGCTTTCACTTTTCTTGTATATCCAACTCTCATACTAGCTTATATGGGTCAAGCTGCTTATTTGTCAATGCATCATGAGAATTCCGATGCAATCAGTTTTTACCTCTCTGTTCCAGGTACCTTATTTCTAATGCAATATGTATTACTACGTACTATGTACCGTGTTGGTTCCAAAGTCCAAACTAATTTGGTTGCTGTGACATTGAAACTTTTGGGTGCAGAAAAGGTCAAATGGCCAGTGATTCTGGTAGCTATTCTTGCTTCAGTTGTGGGAAGTCAAGCAATTATAAGCGGGACATTCTCAATCATTAACCAAAGCCAATCACTTGGTTGCTTCCCCCGAGTCAAGGTTATTCACACGTCAGATAAGATACATGGCCAGATATACATTCCTGAAATCAACTGGATACTGATGGTCCTCTGTATTGCTGTTACAATAGGATTCAGAGATACGAAACACTTGGGAAATGCATCAGGTACTTTAATCTTCACATTTTCGACTCTTGTTAAACTTTTTCTCTCCATATACATTTTCATTTAAAATTTTGGATGGGATAAGAGCCTTATTACTTGGTATATTGAGAAACTTCAAATTTTTATTTGCCCTGCAGGTTTAGCAGTGATGACAGTGATGTTGGTGACAACATGCCTAATGTCCTTGGTCATTGTTCTATGCTGGCATAAACCTCCCATATTAGCTCTTTGTTTCCTTCTCTTCTTTGGTTCAATCGAAATCCTCTACTTCTCAGCTTCTCTGGTCAAATTTTCTGAGGGAGCCTGGCTTCCAATCCTGTTAGCTCTTATTCTGATGGCCATCATGTTTGTATGGCACTACGCCACCATCAAAAAGTATGAATTTGACCTCCACAACAAAGTGTCCTTGGAATGGCTTCTAGCCTTAGGCCCGAGCTTAGGGATATCACGGGTCCCAGGCATTGGCATGGTCTTCACTGACCTCACTTCTGGCATCCCAGCTAACTTCTCTCGCTTTGTCACAAATCTCCCTGCATTCCACAAGATATTGGTCTTTGTCTGTGTGAAGTCTGTTCCTGTTCCCTACATTCCCCCAGCTGAGAGATATCTTATTAGCCGTGTGGGCCCCTCAAATCATCGTTCCTATCGATGCATAATCCGTTATGGGTACCGTGATGTCCACCAAGATGTTGATTCCTTTGAGTCTGAGCTTGCTACTAAGTTGGATAAATTCATCCGTTATGATTGGGCCCAGGAACAAGGGGAAGGCCAACAGTCCCTTCAATGTGATGAGGCTCGATTAAATGATGGATGTAGGTTAGCTATGACGGGCACAATCAGATACTCCCGTGAACCTCCATATGAGATTGATGAAAACCCACAACCAGCAAGCGTGTCCATTGGACTGCCTACAGTTGACAGCATGGGGGACATCATGGAGATGGTGCCTGTAAAACAAAGAGTGAGATTCGCTGATGATGCAAGGTCCTGTGATGACAGAGAAGTCCAGATGCTGCAAGAATTAGATGATCTATGGGATGCTCAGCAAGCTGGGAGTGCCTTTATAATAGGGCATTCCCATGTTAGAGCTAAACAAGGATCATCTTTTCTTAAGAGGATTGCCATTAATTTTGGGTACAATTTTCTTAGGAGGAACTGCAGGGGGCCTGATGTTGCACTCCGGGTGCCACCGGTGTCCCTTCTAGAGGTTGGCATGGTCTATGTTGTTTAAGACTCGGATTATGCTGTGTAATTAGCTTTACTTACAATCAGTTTTGTTAATACATATGAAATGACAGCGTATGTGGCTGATTTTGTGCATCGTCACATAACGAGAGAAGTTAGGGCATGTCTTGCTACTAAGAAGAAATGCTTTGTACAGTTAGTCTTCTGATGGCTTTACTTCAGCATTTGTCCTTATAGAGAGTGAATGATTTAATCATGGTTAAGAACGTGTAATTTTAGTAATGTCATAAGAGTATGGCTAATTGCTAAACAGATTATTTTTAACTTTAAAGAGTCAAAAGTGCCCTTAATCAAAGTCTACCTTTGTTAGTTGCCTAACTAGTTCGGACTTATCCGGAAAATCTTTCTTTTGAACACATGTAAAATTACGCTATTAGATAACCACACGACTATTCCTCAGTAGATGCTTGCAAAGTTGCAATAATACATGGTACACAAAAGAATTTGACGCAAAGCGTCCCAATTGACAAGCAAACTGAAGAGCCACGTCTCTCTCTTTCTAAACCATATTTTCTGAGTGGTAACTAATCTCTTACAGTATGTGGCTCTTGTCACATAGCTACCTCAACTCACAAACCCCACAAAATTATGCTGCTAAATTCCTAAAGTAACATAGTTCAACATACCATTACACAAGTATATATATTCTCTATTTCTCTACTCTCTAAATTATTACTTGCATTTCAAATTTACAAAAATATTAAAGAAGAAAAACCATAAATGGGATTCAGAACCTTACCTCTATCATCTTCCCAGAATGGGATCCTCCAACCATCCATAGCTCCTCAAACCATGCGCATACATAGTTATAGACAGAGCAACATATTAAGAGTAGTCTCAGCGAAAAAGGAAGACGACAAGGAGGAGCAACCAAAGAAGAAGAAGCAATCTTTGTTTACGAGTGTCACTGATGCTTTGGATTTTGCTCAAGCAAGGTCAGCAGAGGATGCTCAGCTTATTGAGGAAGCTAGGGAAACTACCAGCTCAGGTCGAATGATGAATAGGGAACAGGTACCGATTTTGGATCACCTTACGATTTTCTCTCCTTGGGATTATGTTGTTAACATGTTATTACGTTTACATAGTTTTGATTCTAAGCTGTTTGGGTTTTTTTTGATGCAGTATGGAGCTCTTCGGAGGAAAATCGGAGGAACATACAAGGATTTCTTCAAATCATATGTCGAAGGTATGTACATCTTGCAATCCAATGCCATTAAAGCTTATCTAGCTAGCTAATTCAACTAACATACGGCAAAATAGCCTAAGTAACTTTAAGTAGCGAGTAGCAGTTAAAATCTAAACGACACTATCAACATTCCGCCCCTGTTAGATGTCTAACTGCTTGGCAATTCGCCGTATTCTTTACTCATTCTTGGTTTTTTCTTATCATACAGTGGATGGGCAATATGTGGAGGAAGGCTGGGTGGACAAAACCTGTAAGGTGTGCAAGAAAGATACAGCAGGTGAAGAAAGGCAAAAGGACAAGTTTGGGAGATATGCTCATGTAGCTTGCCTTGAGAAAAAGAACTCAGGCAACTTCTTTACTAATCTATTCTCTAGGTGATTGGAGCTGTCAATTTTGGCTCGGAATTTTGTTTAAGATAATAGCATAGCAATATATGGAGTATACTTGTATGTAATTTGCTACTCATTGTTCTATACATAATGTATCAGTAATTCAGTACTGAATTTCTTAAATGTGCTTGCATTTAGCTATAATAACTTGATCCATTTGTGTGCTACAAAATTTAAAGGCTGTATTGATATTGTGAAATAAAAAGACTACTATGATTTAGACCTTCATTAGGCACCGAGAAGAGAGAGAACCGAAAGCCTACAATATACGGAGTATTAGAGCAGATTAAACTTTAGGCTAGGCTAAGGCTGCAAATTCAGGTTGCATCGGTTGACCCGAATGGAGACAGTTGGTTTGTCTGGGTCTCCAGAGTCAGGACACTTGCAATATTCGCATAGAATAGGGTCCTAACCCAGGATCACTTGTGCAGATATGCTAACACTAACCACTGTCATTAGCTGAAGGACAGGTGATGAACACATAATTTGTCACCAATAATCTCAGTACATAAATCAGAATATGATAGGTTAAATTGCAGCATCATCTGCTTAACAATTAAGTATATGGTACACATCAAAAACAGCTCAAAGTGAATTTGATTTAGTTAATATATCGGTTTAAGTCTTAAGAAATCACTGATGCAAATCATATACTGCAAATGGAATAGGCGTATAGCAATATCAGCAACAAACTATAAATGACAGTCATAATCATCACAAACAGTAAATTTACCAGAGCTACAAGGGGTCCTAGGATTTAGGTAACGGTGTGCAATTATGCAGGATTGAGTTTGACAAACAGTAAAGCAAATTATTACTAAATTATCTTTTACCAATTGTAGTTAGCTAAGAATGACTGCAAGGCAGAACATAAAAAATTGGCAAAGTGAATGCGTAAAAAAGAAAACAGATGGATACGTAATGGAAGAAACAGATCTTGGTAATCCTTTCATCTTAAAGTTCAACACAAGGGCATCATATGATAATTAACAATGCTCAATAATAGCTACAAACGATTGCTCATGGAAAAACATAGTAAGCAACATAAGTAAACTGAAAACCTTTCAGAGCCCTCGTCACCTAGTTTGATCAATATTAGTGGTGCAAGGAATAACAATGACCAATTGCTCCAAGAATTACAACATAAGGCAATAGCTAGCAGATGCAGAGTGTGCTTTTTTCATTCTAGATCAAAGTTCAACAAAGACAGATTTATAACAAAGTCATATATAATAAAGGCTACATTATAGTATCTGACAAAGCAAGGATCTTAATGACATGAATGACACTTGAAGTACATTGACTCAAGAGGTTTCTGTGGCAGCTTGAGTAAGTCCAGATTTAGCCAACAATTTGGTCAAGGATTCTGGAGAGTGTACCTGGTACTTGACTTTTCCAGAAGGCAGACGATAAACTTCAGCCAATTCAAGCTTCTCCGAGGTCAGACTTGTGCTGTCCATCGTCTTGCTGAGGACCTTCAATGCAAGCTGAATAGCATCTTCGCGGCTGATATCATCCTTGTAGTCCTGCTTAAGCATAGACTGTGCAGCTTGATTGTTAGCTCCTATTGCAGTAGCTTTCCACCCACCATAATTTCCACTTGGATCACTCATATAAAGCTGGAAACCATAATTCTTGTCCCATCCAGCAAAGAGAAAGGAAACACCAAAAGGCCGAAGCCCACCAAACTGTGTGTAACCTTGCTTGGTATCACACAGAGATTGGACCAACTGCTCAACAGGCATTGGTTCTTGGTACAAAAAAGTGTAACGTTGTGCTTGGACTCGAGCTGTGTTTATCAGAATGTTAGCATCAGACATGATACCAGCAACAGCACAAGCTACATGATCATCAACCTTATACATCTTCTCAGTAGTAGTGGAGGTCTGAAGAAGCTTAGAAGTGACCTTCTTCTCACCAACCAAAACAACCCCATCATTAGCCAAAATACCTATGGCACTTCCTGCATTCCCAATTGCCTCCATGGCATACTCGACTTGGTAAAGCCGACCCTCGGGCGAGAAAATGGTAGTCCGACTATCGTATCTCCGAGACATGATTCACTACCATAGGCATCGAAACAATTACAGTATGAGTTAATCATCACATTCAAATGAAAGTTACTCAACATTTGTTTCTCATCCATCAATGATCAATCAATTCATAATACCAAATTAACGAAAAGTACAGCATTTCCTAACAAAAAATAACATATATCAATCAAAAGATTCATTCAAAACCCTATAAAGCAAATACTAGTATTTTAAAAGAGATTAAAACCCCACAAAACAAAAATCAATTTTAAGATGATCCAGATTCACACATTCACTCAAACATTCAATTCTAAATAATTTTACGAAATCCAAAGAAATGACATTTAAGAAATACCCAAATCAAATTCAAAATTATCAAGCTAAATTGGATTACACTCTTTAAAATTTCAACTCCCCATCAAATTTAAGTAAATCCGAAGAAATTACATTTAAGAAATACCCAATTCAAACTCATAGTTATCAAGCTAAATTGGATATTTTAAGCTAATTGGATCACAAATTGAGTTCTTCACCTATATCAAAATTATCATCTGAATCGGTTATACATACAATGATAATCAAAGCAAAAGAAAACCACAATTAATTATGAGCATTAATCGTCGAAATAAGAGAAATAAGACCTAGATTGGATGATAGAAATGACGGAAAAAGAAATAAACTTACAATATTGGGAGATTAGTACTTCAAATTTCTTTTGTGTGTTTATGCTTCTACTTGAATAACTAGATACTCTGTGCTAAAAAACACTGGTTAATTGGTTTGTCTTCGTTTCTTGAACAAGAGGGTACCCTTTTTTTAAAAAAATATTTTTTCCTGAAAAAGTATAAAGGAGAATGGGAGACCACTTTAAGATGGGCTTATTCCAGTCCATTGAGTTTGGGTTTAGAAAAGCCCAATATGAATTAAACCAGTACGAGCATGTCGTGACACCCGCAACTCCAAACTCGACACAAGCAAGACACAACACATTATGATGTTAGAGACAACCATGTGCTATGTAAAAACGCAATATCCAATTATTGTAAATAATTTATAATGTTGGTAGTCTGGTACTAGTAGTAAAAAAGGCAATTTGATATTGTATGACTTGATATGATACGACATGACACGACACATACATTTAGTTGTGACTTGTGCCTAATTTCTATTCTATTGTCACGAGAACGACATGTAGCCTTATATGATCCTACCTAGCCCAATTTAATAATGACCTTGTACAACCTCCACCAATGGCTCAATTTAGTAATTTATCCCAGCAAGGCCAACCGTTCAATCTTCAATGCTCATAAACTCACATTTTCTCCATAAACAAAACATACGATGCGTTTCACTCAAAACGCAGCGTTTAGATACCCATGAAATTGGCGGGAATCCTGAACCCCTAGAAATTGGCGGGAAAATCCCACCTACTTACACTCCCGCCGCACTCCCTCATTTCCACTTAACACACACTTCCCTGATTATCGAGGAGAGAGAAAATCAAAGATCAAGCTCAAAAATGGTAGGATTACCGTACGATTGCCTCGCTAATCCTGTCGGAGCCGTCCGATTAACCTTCGAAAAAGCCGTTTCTTCCGGCCTCAACCCCTCCACCTCTACCGGCGCCGATTGGGGCGCCGTCGATCTTTTCCGTCAATTCCTCTTCGACGATGGTGGTCTTTCTCAGGTATCCATCAATTAATCACATTTCTAGGGTTTTCGAAGAATTCGTTTGATTATTTTTTTGTTTTGGGGAATTTTTAGGTTCCGATTTTAAATGCGGCGAGTGTAAAGTATTTACCGACGAATTCGTTGGTTCGATTTCGAGGGATGATTCAAGATATGCTGGGAAATGAAGTTTATGTTGGTGCTTACAAGGTAGTAATTTTTTAGGGTTTTTGATGAAATTAATGTTATAATTTGAGGAAATTAATCTTATTTTATTTGTTTGTTGGTGTAATTTGAAGGATGGTTCAACTTGGAGGACCAACAAATTCTCAGATGTTTGTCAGGTTGATGTGGATATGTCCCCTGATATGAAGTTTTGGGAGCGTCGATTGCTCTACTGTGTTCCTGTGAGTTTTCCTTTTTCATTTTCTTTTATGATTTCTTAATTATGCTTTTGTTGTTCTTTATTGTGTTCCTGTAAGGTTGTTGTTTGTTTGAGGATTCATTTCTTGATGAAAGATGGGAATTTGATTGATATTATTATGATTTAGTCGCGATTTGATCCTATGTCTTGAGTTCCATGCCCTGGCCCCTAAGGCTAAACACTAGCATATGTGTTCGTAATTTCGTATTTTGGTTGGTAAATTGATGCATACTTGTACTTTCTTTATCCAAAATATTCTTAACATGTTTCTTATAAATTAAAAATTAACTTGGATTTAACTAATTAAAACTGAATTAATAAGATGACATTTATGTTTAAAAGTTGGTATTGATATTATAAAGTGAGATATAATGTCTGATCAAAAGTAATTGAGTTGTAATAATCTATGTTTTTTTATGGATTGGAAGGATTAGTAATCTTCTTTGGTGCTTAATTTGGATGAGTATAAAAGTTGGTAATGTAAGTATTCGGGAATAATTATTTATTATTGTGTGAATATGTATAGGTACCGGGGCTGAATTCATGGGCAGAACCCTTGGAAGCTTTGTCGAATCAGCAAAGGAGTTTTGCTTCTCAGCAAAGGGAGAAGCGTCCAAGGGATGATCATGAAACTGTTGATCATATGGAGTTGGTAAGGCTTTTGACATATTCGAAATGTTTGTGTTCAGTCATAGTTCTATCATATGAATTTATTAATTTAATAAAAGAATGTTTTACTCGAAAGTTTGAAACACCATCCTATCTGAAGACTATAACCAGTATCCTAACAGAATACTAACAACATGGTTTGTTTGCTTATAGTTTTGTTGCATAATGTCGACAATTCGAAATGCTACTGTAGGCATGTTTAATTGATAAGAATGATAACTACAATGTGCTGCCTCTTGAAAGTCATGCACTCTTGATTTCCATGTGTTGTCTTAATTGTGATCTGCTTATATGATGCAATTGATTTTTTATTTTATTTTATTTTTTCCCTTGGCAGAGATCAAATCAAGACTGTGAGGATTCTCCAATTACTAAAAAGATGGTAAGCAGAAAATGTCTTGTATTTTGCTGGTCTAATAGAACACTGTTATTCACTCTTAAGCATTACCTTAGCCGCATGATTGTGTTGTAGTACCACTAACTATTGCAAATTAGCCATCATAGAGTGGCACTGAATACCCTTACTCTAGTGGTTTTGCTAAAAATAATCTGCATATCATTATGAAACAATCACAACTTTAGAATCTTTCTGTAGCTGGAGCACCTCTTTTTTCTTCTTTCCTATGAGAGCTTATGAGACGTTGCTGATCTGATTAAATATGTATCTCTAACAACAGAGGGAAGAGGGGCATTCTTCCTCATCTGCAATGCAGCAAGACACCGTGAAGGAAGGAACCACTCCTTCCTTTGGACCACCTGATTCCGAGATAAATTCTTTTCCTTGTTTGGTTAAGGTATGCTTCTTTTTTTTTTTTTTTTTTTTTTTTTGAGGCAGTTAAGGTATGCTTCTTGATCCTTGAATTATCATCATGTTGATGAATGTTTTCTTTACCAACTTACCAAAGGAGTAACTTTCTACTTAATTTTTTCATGGGCAGGTTTATGATTCCCCGGAGTCTGATTTAAAACTAAATGAGATTTTTGAGTTTATCGGAGTTTTGAACTATGATCCAGAGTTAGCATTAAACAAGGATGAGTCTGATATGCAGTCAAATGACCTTTATGAAGATGACTTGGTTCAATTACCCCCTAGCAAGGTTTGCACAAATTCCTGGGTGTGAGTCGTGTTGTTATTAATTTTATCTAAAAAATCTCCATGCTTGCTTTGTACAATTAACGATTTAACGTAAATACTTACAGAGTGAAGTTATTGGGCTGGTATCTTTTGCAATTGCTACTCAAATAATCAAACACAAGTTGTTTAGTAACAGATGATTTCCAACTTAATCGTGATTTACATACACTTTGTTTGGATAGGAAGAAATGGAAGGAAAAGAAGAGAAGAGAAATGGAGGGGGACAAAATCTCTTGTTTGGGTAAAAGATTGGGGGAAGGAAGGGGAAGGAGAGGGAGGGATCCATTTTCCCTCTCTTTAATAACCATAATCTCTCCAAAATTGGAGAGATTTGGAGGGAAAATGGAGCTCACCTCCCCCTCCCTTTCTTTTCCCTTCCCTTCCTCCATTTTCCCTCCCCTTTTTTTCCTTCCTTCTTTGCTATCCAAACAAAGCGTTAATCTCTTCTTATATCTTAATTATCCCTAAAAACTGCTGACTAACATAAATTTTCAACTTGTTATAAATTAATAAATGGTCCGACAGTTTGATGACATGTATAATGTTTGTACTGAGAACTGGTTCATATGACTAACTATTTTCCTTTACAGATACCTCGTATCCACTGTCTTGTACACCAGAAGCTCGTGGCGCATGATTTTGTTGATGGTTCACCTACAACAGAAGTAATTGGCCTTGTCCTCTTTTTGCTTGATATCTTCTTCTCCTTGCTGATTCTTATGCATGTTGGGTATTTAACTGACTAATTGTCTTTTATAGTCAAATCCGTCAACGATTAGAGGAATAAGGGAAGGCCTGCTTAGTCATCTCACTGCTGTCCTTGGAAATGATGGAGTGGCAGCTCAATTTCTGCTATTGCACCTCTTATCTCAGGTAAGTTACGTTGCTCTCCCTCCCTTCCAATTTTGCATGATTGGCATTTGGCAGGACTTTTAGTTGCTCTGAGTTGTTTTTTTGGAAAAAATGTTTGTTTGCAAAATCATTACTAAGCATTTCTTACTTGCAGGTGCATGCTAGAGTTGATGGTGTCGCTGTTGGGAAGTTTTCACTTAATTTCACCAACTTCAGCAAGGAAACTGCATCTGTCTTTAGTAAACGTCTTGGTCTCACAATGAAGGAACTTCTTCCTTTTACACAGCAGATGCCTCTCACAATTGAATATCTTAACAGTGCCTCACTTGCCCCTAAAAAAGATTACCAGGCAAATAAGTAAGCAGAGTTATCCTTTACACAATTCTGGCTTTAAATACTGTCACTTTCTATTTTTCTTTTTACCTTACAATTTTTATGGCTGGATACTTGGATGGCAGATTGGTTCCTGGAGCTCTTCAGCTGGCAGAAGGGTCACACTTGATCATTGATGAGACGCTGTTGCAGGCTGGGACCCTGAACCCGACTGGAGTTGAGAATGCAAGATCATTGAAGAACTTGACAGAAATGCAGCAGGTAATCCTCAAAATTTTAGTGTGTGTACCCATGTGCACTTTTCAACCGCCTCCTGCATGGTGTGTTCTGTTAAATGAGAATCAAACTGGCTCTAAGACTATTTCTGCTTCCATTCTCCCCCTCTAAAAAATATATTTTAGGTTGAATATGATTTCCAGTACTACAAAATGGAGATGAAAGCAGACGTGCAGTTGCTTGTTCTATCTGAGGGTAAATCCAACATTCTGCCTGCCGATTTAGTCCTTCCTTTTCAGCCTTTATCAACCAGCTCCTCAGAAATTGTAGATGAAGCAATAGTACAGACTTGGAGATGGTATTTGGCCTTCCTGAGATCACTATCACACTCGATTAGTCCTGAAATGCAGAAGGTATGACTTGCTACGATGGTTTATCTTGATGAACCATTTTCCAAGGCCTTTTATGGTCTTTCTGTTTCTGTACAGAACAGAGATACATACATAGCTGATAATTTTTTTTTATAACTAATCAGGTGGTCGAAGAGGATCTAGTCGCAGCTAGGCAAGCAGACCGGACCTTAGGGAGCCAAGATTTTAGCAGGTCTGTATAACTAATCAGGTGGTCGAAGTATTTGTTTTCCTTTTTACTATTTAACGAGTCAGCGATTAAAAAATCTGATTATTTATGCTTCCAGGTTGCTGACTATGAGTAGACTCATGTCATTGAGCTTTGGCGAGACAAGTCTGTCCATGGAACACTGGCAAATGGTGAAAGAACTAGAAAGGCTTAGAAAAGAGAGAGTTAGATGAAGCTGTTTAAACATGTAATCTAATATTTTCACATGATTACAATTACCAGGATCTATAATGTATGGACTTGGGCATGGAAATTTTTTATGATTTTGGTTCGAAAATGAAGTCTTATGTGTCCAAACCCCCATGGCTCCGTCTCCTTGTAGAGTTTCTAACTCGATAATGTAATAAAATGTCTGGAGTAATTTATTGTGGAAAATCAAAATAGCCTTCGACGCCATGAAAGTTGCTTGGCTGTTGGAATGCTGCTGATGTGCCTGCTTAACTGCCCACCTTTTTGAAAAATCAGAAGACCGACTAACATCTGAAGTCGTATTGTTTCTGATCAATAGTCTTATTATACATTCAAATTGCGAGTGAGTTTCAATGATAGTGAGTTTGTGATGTAAGCATTTTGCAATTATGCAATATTGGAATCATCACTTTGAATAGTTTGCTTTGCTCCCAGAGTCCCCATCAACAAAATGTCAATTTAAGCGTGTGTTTGTTGTTGTCTAGTCGAGAAAATGGAAAATGATGCACATACATCAAAGAATGCTAAACAAGCTACCTTGCCCTAAGTTAGAAGTACAAAAAACATTCAATTTATGTATTGACTAGCCGTCTCCTCTCTATTTTTTTTTCAATAGGGTTTTTCATAAAAAGTGTTTCATAGGCGGAAAATAATCAAATTTCTCTGCTTCAGTTTCCTTATGCTTTGTTATTGAATTCAATAAATCTATCCTCTTTTTTTTTTTGAAATAAAATTGATTCATAAATAAGTCATAAGACATCTACAAAGAGATTTAGATCTAACAAATACATGATAATTGAATCAAATAAAAACATTCTGTAATCAAAGCTACGGTCGTTGTTGTAAATCGTACAATCTTCATACCCTCTTTCATATCGTTGTGGTTTACAGCCTTCTTCGGCGAGGGGGTTTATCGATCTGTTGTAGCCGTGCAGAAAATTTCCGTCTGATTCGTTCGATGGTTGTCGAAATATTAATCTCTTTTTCAATACCGCACAAAATTTTACCCATGAAACAACTCTATAGCAATCCATGAAATAAAAAGTCAAATCCTCCCTCAAAAGAGAGAAGAAAAACACAGTCTTTCGAATGAGCCAAATCCTCCTAAAGAGGAAGAAAAACCCTGTCTTTCGAGGGAGAAATATTCCTCCTAGAAGAGGAAGAATTATTATAAACCTAAAGCAAGAGAAAAGGCACAAAAGAAACAACGATTGGGGCTTTCCACCGGTAAATCCGATGGAAGCCCCTTCAAAATTCAACAATGGAGGCTAGTGTTTTAGAGAGACAAGAGAGGAAAGAGATGCTACATTATAAATCTATCCTCTTTGAAGGTAGTAAGTATTCTTATAGTGGGTTTTAGTGTAGTAACTGCTCTTATGGTGGGCTTTGTTTCAATTTGGTTGTAAATCACATCGTTATGAAAGAGGGTACGAAGAATGTATGAATTGCAACAACGATCGCAATTCTACTAAAAAGATGTTTTTATTAGATTTATATCTCTTTATTGATGTCGTACATATTTTTATTTATGAATTAATTTTTATTATAAAAAAAATAAAAAATAAAATTATATTTATATTTATATATTTAGCTGTCTCTCTCAAAATAAGTTTTTAATTTCAAAATCTTTGAAATACTCTAATACTCTTCAGTCAAAATACCCAAATTCTCGTGGTAGGGCTAAAATGTTAATTTGTCTTTTGAATTGTCATGACTCATAAATGAGTATTTCATATCTTTGATTGTTCATTTGTTTTTTTTTTTTGTTTTATGGTGTTAGTTAAAATACTTGAAATCTCGTTGTAGGACAAAGAGAGCATGTAATTTTTGTTTGGTTATGAATTAAGGAAAACGCCTCACTTTTTTACACTTTGTTTCAATGAAGGAAATGGAAGAAAAAGAAGGGAAGATAAAAGAAGGGGGACAAACGCTTTATTTGAATAAAAGATTGCGTTAAGGAAGAGAAAGGAGAGGGAGAGATCCATTTTCCCTCTCTTTAATAAACAAAACTAGTTATTGGCCCGGGCGATGCCCCGGTTTATTATAAATTTAGTAATTTAATGAAACTATACTATGGCCTTGTTTGACACCTAGAGCTCAAATAGTGTGTGTGTGTGTTTGTTTTTAAAGATGAGATCTTAAGTACGTAGTTAGTTGTTTGTGTGAGCTAGTTGGTTTGACTATAATTTTTGTTTTTTGGTTAATATAGAAAAAATAATAAATCAAATATTTATAATTTTGATGCCAATATATACTACTTCGTATTAGTTATTGCTCGTACTCTATAACTACAATTTTATGAATTAATGCACAAAAAATGGAGTAATGATTAATTTCTTACAAATTATATTATTGTGCAATTTCTAAGGATTTCAAGGGGAATTTAAATTTGGGGTTACACATATATGAAAAACCTTTCAATCAAATTATATTATTGTGCAATTATTAAAAATAAATTTAGATAGAGTAGTGGTTATACATATGAAGAGTTTTTCAATAGATTTAACATTAATACTTGGAGGTTAAACCAATGAAGAGTTTTTCAAGAACACTAAATATTACACTTCGATTATGTGGCAATCTTGGAATATGATGTGGCGCAATAAAATGTAAAAATGACACATGGCGTTACAACACTCCTTACCTTGGGTTTTAATAATAATATAGATTCCTCTAAAATTGGAGAAATTTGGAGAGGAGTTCAGTCAATTCACCTCCCCCTCCTATTTCTCTCCCCTTTCTTTCCTTCCTTATTTGCTATCCAAACAAAGCGTTAGAGAATTAGGACATTTTTAGTTAGGTATTTCTTATGCATTTAAACATTTGCTAATAGTATCATGCACATTAAATAAATAAATAAAGCAAAACTTGGAGAATAATATATTGATAATCATATAGTATTGAAAGATAAAATTTTATTGATTAGACAGCATAATAATTTGTCTCACAAATAGTCGTCCTTTCCACTCCCCTCAACAACAGCAACAACTCAACACAATAATACGTAGTTTAACGATAATACGTAGTTTAACGATAATACGTAGTTTAACAAACAAAGGATAAGGATAAAGAGGGACTAGATATTTTTTCTAGACACTTCATGTGTGTAATACGAACATTTAGATTTAGAGTTCAGATAAAACGTTCATCATACAAGGCCGAGGACAACACTTAACACGTAGAGGAACGAGTTTTACTAACGAAAGACCACCAGTTTCCTCCATATCGATTAAATCGTTACTAGTTCGCTCCCAATCGAAGCATTGAACCAATATTGCAACGGCCAACCAAATCATTTTATTTGCCAAGTGCTCGCCGGGGCAAATTCTTTTACCGGTACCAAAAGGCATGAAGTTGTACCCTAATGTAGTTTTCTCAAGACCCGAAAATCTCTCTGGCTTAAAATTTCTTGGGTCGTCCCATATGTTGGGATCATTGTGTACCGCCCATATGTTGTAAATTAACATAGACCCTTTAGGGACGTGGTATCCCCCTACGTAACAATCATCCCTAGACTCATGAGGTAGTCCTAGGGGACCGGTAGGGTACATTCGTAGTGTCTCGTTTATGATGCATTGAAGGTAAGGGAGGTTGTTCTTGTCGGATTCTTCTACTAAACGAGTGTTTCCTATGTTTGTGTCGATTTCTTCTTGTGCTTTCTTTAGGACTTTAGGGTTGTTGAGAAGGAGAGAAAGCACCCATTCTACTGTTGCGGCTGAAGTATCCGTTCCACCTTGAAATAAGGCCTGTTACACGCATCAATCAAATCAAATTAAGTTTGGTATGCATGCATATCATGAAGATTGTATTAGAATCAAATTAATTAAATATGTAATCATATTCATAATTTTATAATTTTTGTACGTTGGATAATGCAATCTAACTAAAAATGTGAGAAGGCACATTATCACGTGTGATTATTGTGTGAGTGAGTATGTGATACATTAATTAGCATGGTACTTAACGATAATGATAAAAAAGTATGCATAGAATACGTACCAAAATGAGGCTTCCAATCATCTCATCGGAATAATAATGAGGATCCTCCTTTTGTAAGGACAATAAAACATGTATCATTGCCCTCTTTCTCCCATCAGATAAATTTCCTTCTCTTTCTAACTCTCTATGTTCTAACATTAATCCTTCCATGAATGTATTCTTTTCTTTTATTAACTTCTTCATGAACTCCTCAGGTGATCCTAAAAACACCTTAAAATATTTCAAAATTGGCAAAAAATCTTCTATGTTATTCACTCCACTCACCCTAAAACTACCCTCCATAGTTTTTTGGAACCTTCTAGAAGCTTCCATTCCCCCGCTCGCCTCCACGTAGTTACTCTTCCCTATTAACATCCTCATCATGTTATCTAGAGTCAACCCAAAAATGGCAGATTTCATCTCCACTATTCCGTCATTTTCGGTGATGTCCTTTATCATCCTACAAATGAAGGACTGGGCTACTTCAGCCCGGATCCCTGACAGGATTTGCAGCCGCTGAGGTGATAAGATCTCAACGGCTGCAATCCGTCGTAGGTTTTTCCAGTGGTCCCCATAAGGGGACCATGCCATGTTAGTATAGTTATTGCCCCCATGCTTCCCAGGGAGGAGGCGGGGGCGGTCTACAAACACGTCACTCTTAACAAGACACTCCTCAACGGCCTCTGGAGAGGAGAGTAAAAGTACAGGTCGGGCCCCCATCTTGAGATAGAGGACTGGGCCGTACTTGACCGCCAAATGGGCAAGGGAGCGATAGAGGGGCCTCTTAAAGAGGTAGAGGTGGCCTATAATAGGGAATGAGAGGAATGGACGTGGTGGCAATTTGCCCTTAACCTTGGAATGTAGGATGGTATGCTTAAGTGTGAAATAGGTTGCTAGATAAAATGCAACATACTTGATAACTATAATAATGTTATCAATATCATAATCCATTGATAACAATTGCATCATATAAAGTGAATGTGCTACAAAAATTTCAAGTGAAAAAGAAAGTGTACGTACTACGTAGGTGTATATAGTGATTAGATGGGTTTTGGATGCGTTTATATTATTTGTCTTCGATTATCGAGTCACAAATTTATAGTGGATTGGTATTGATCAGCTTTTGACAAATCTAAACATACGTGATTATTTTTTCTCCTTTGGAGGGCTGATAGTAATGGATATTATTGGTTAGGAAAGTTCAAACGGTTCAAATTGTTGACAACAAAATAAGCCAAAATGATCGATTGTTTGCAGCTTGTTTAAATTATATTCTCTCTGTAAAAAAAGAAAAACAAAATCTCCAAAATGAGTGATGTAACATGACTATAAGCTAATAATAGAGAGATCGATAATCGTATGTAGATTTACAGAAAATTACTCGTATTCGTATTTATTTTGATAAATAAATAAGGTCATACTTCTTGTCGGGTTTAGGTTGGGTTAATAACAGGACGGGTTACATTTGGGTCGGATGAACAATAGTTCGGGTTTTCACGGGTTAAAACGGGTTAGGGTAATTCTCGGTTCGAATCGGGTTCAGTTCAAGTCAATGATTTACGAGTTAGAATCAGGTCGGGTCATTCTCAGGTTTGAGTCGGGTTCGGTTCAAGTCAATAATTTGAAAGTTATAATCAGGTCGGGCCGTTTTCAAATCGGATCATTGTAATACTCCTAATTTTTGAAAATATTTTCTTAATTAGTAATTTCTTTAATTAATTGAAATAATTAAATATTTCTAAATTATGATCTTGGTCGGTCCGTATTTTTTATTAATTAACATTGTACGCCGTTTTTAATTTTATTTTCCGGATTTTATCTTAATAATACTTAACAACTTTAGCTTAATTATTATCTCATGAATTACAACAAATCTTAGTTTTGATATTATCTAGTAGTATATATTTTAACTTGATTTAATTATCAAATATAATTATTTTATTTATTTAAGAATGATTTTCGTTATATATATATATATGTAAAAAAAAAAAGGGTCGTGAGTTATGAGAAGCCATACTTATCATTATTATTTATTTTTAAAATCTCTTAATTTATCATTATTTTTTTTACTTAAATCTCTTAATTTATCTTTCTTAACCATATTAGTATTTATCTTACTTCCATCCCTAATCCTTTCCATTAACCTAGACTAAATTCCACTCATATTCATTTAACAAACTTACATTTATCATGTTCCCATGTTAATCTCAAACTTCCTTTAACTCTATCTTACTACCCCTTAAACACTATAAATAGACCCTCAACACTTCACAAATTCCTCACACCAAAAATCAGAAATCCTCTTCTCTACTCTCTATCTCATCACCCCTTCTTCTTACTTTATCTAGCTTAAATAAACTCTGCAACCCATAACCAAGTTGTTGCCACCGAACAACCACCTCATCCGCCACCAACGACCACCCAACTATAGCACTATTTTGATAAAGGTTAATATTTAGGTAGCTCATGCACAATAGAATGGTGTTTTTGGTTTTGTGTTATTTTGTTAACCTTATATTAATTAAGGTTATTTTATTTGTGTAGGAGGAGTCTCCCGATCGTGGTCAAGTTTAGTAGTAGTACCTTTTTGTTCTCGTGATCAAGGTACGTATAGGTGGCTAGGTCCTTGATACAATTTTGAATGCGTGTTTTGTATAGTGTTTGTTTTAATGATTGTTTGAATAAATGTTGCGTATGAATATTTAAGTTAACAATTTTCATGACAAGTTAAAGTATATAATTTTATGATTTGAAGGTTTGATATCTAAATGTTGCTCGATTTAATAAAAGTTGTTTGATTTATAAATCACTTGGTTTAATTAATTTGTAGCTCATTGTGAGCCTGAGTATTTGATATTTTAATTGTCCCTCTACTCGGGACTGGTTAAGTAAGACCATGAGCTTTGTATGATCCGGTCTTTCCTCGAGTATAGTATAACTTGCTTGGGGGGTGTGCACACTTAGGTGAGGAAAATTGATTTGGAAATATATCAAAAATTGAGAAGTTTATAAATTGGGAATCTATTGGTTTGGAAAGCTTTTATTGATGGATATTTCTACCCTTGGAAGGTTTAATTGTTTTTGGGAAGTTTAATTTTGGAAAGTGACTCGTGACAGGTTTAAATTTAAATGGTTATTTCGAAAGCATGTTTGCCTAATAAAAGTATTTACATGCCTTGCACTTATACGTACTTAGCGTTTTTGCTAATGTGTTTTCCTTTTTGTTTTGGTTCGCCCTGTTTACCATTTTGGTAAGCAGTCTTGATTTCAGGTGTGAAGTTGTTCGTACGCATACTAGAGTCGGGATTGAGATCACATAGATAGGTTTTTATTTTATTTATGTATGGACAAGTTTTTATTGGTTTATTTTGAAACCGTTATTATGGTTATTCTTAATATTAATAAAAGTTAGTTATTTTTTCCGCTGCAATTTGAGTAATTAATTAAGCCTTACGTTTTCACGTGGCGGTAATACGCCCAAATCTATCTCTACGTTATTTGTATACGTATAAATATAGTATTTACGTAGATGGAGATTTGGGGGTGTTACAAAGTGGTATCAGATTTCTGGGTCTACGAAAGATTAAAAAAAAAAATTGAAAAATAAAACTCATGGGTAGACTTAAGATGGGCATATAGGATAAATAGAGTTTTGCATTCTTCGAAGTAAAATTATTTTCTATAAAAACTATTTTCTTATTTGGAAAGGGGATTGAGAAAAGGATGCTCGGGTTCTCTTCGGAGGCCTATAATGGGTACGACTCTCTGTCTAGGAAAGGCTCGCCTCGACGCTGTAGGTAACTTTCCTGGGAGACGCGGGCTCGACCGTCCAATTTCAAGAATCGAGTACATTATTATTTTCGAAAACAAAATGAATTGAAACCATTTGATTTTGTAAACACCTAATGTGCATTAGTCTAAGTATAATTAGGGTCGTCTAGTTATCTGTATGGTTATGGAATTATGGTTCCATTGGTATTCATTTTGGATTTATCCTTGAGGAAATTGGAATTGCTTACTTAAATAGTTTGTGTTATCACAGATGATGGAAACTGTTAGAAGACATTTCTTTGATCAAAGGCTAGTAAAATCGGATGTTATATCTGTGCGTGACTTTATAACAGACATTGTTTGGCATGCTACTGATATAAAAAGACACAGGAATATGAAATTTATGATCGAGGAACCATGGATCATCCTACTGGCCTTAGTTCACTTACCCAACACACCTAAATATAATACATTAATCCGAAAGTATAGAAATGTAATTAAACCTAATGGGTTGTGGAATATTGAAGCCTATATGCATGAAGGAAAATGGCTAGGAACCTTAAACAATTTTAAAGCAGACCTACATTTCGCCGAAGTTGACTGGAGTCGAATCCCAAGACCAATAGTTGCTGAAATTCCTCTTCGGCTTACACCTCATGAAGTCCAAAAGTTAAATAATCTAAACTATGATATGCCACCCTTACCACCTCCACGTTTGCATCTTGACTATACATCATCTGATGACTTAGAAATCCCTCACCCAAATGACTTTGAATCCCCACCTCATACTACTTAACCCCTTGTCCCAAGAGGTCGAGTATCTAGTCCAAAACACAGTACAAACCGTAACCCTGGCCCCTATGTTGGCCCAAACTGCAACTCTAGCTATGGCTCGTGCCGTAGCCCAACTTATAGTGAATTTTATCCTACCTTCTTGCTTGAATGTAACCAAATTCCAACCCACATGGCTAAAACTTTAGAACCTGATTCCCCTCAACTTTCCACAGGAAACACAGGTGACGTGGCCAGAAAGATGATCCAGCAAGCTAAGACCAAGAGTAGAACTTCAGAATAATAATTGATTGATTTCTTCCATTAATAGCAAATTGTTTTGTTTTGTAAGCCAACTAGTGGCCCTTATGAATTTGTAGTGACAAAATGAATTAATTATTTTAATAAGCCTATGTGGCTAAATATGGAGTTTCAATCTTTAATAAGAGTTTTATGAAATTTTCTCATATAATAAATGTGTATTATTTGTTATTTTAAGTTATTCAGGATGTCTCTAAGAGCCGGAAATAGTAGACGCACTGGTTCCAAAATGAGCTCTACTCTTAGGAAGCTAACTACCATTGCTCAAAGCATGAGCCAACTGGTGAGTCAGGGGAATCGTAGCAACGACTTAGATCAATTTGGGGAAGTTTTTAAGAGGGTAGCAGCTGCAAAACCACCCACTTACCTTGGGAAGGAGGATCCTGCTAGTTTGGAGAATTGGATAAGGGAATTTGACAAGTTGTTTGATGCCATTAACTGTCCTGAAGAATTGAAGGTTAATAATGTTGTTTATTACTTGAGGGAAGAAGCTGACCTGTGGTGGAGTCAAAATCGGGCTAGGCTTTTAGAAACCCCTAACTTTGGGTGGAAAGAATTGAAGAAGGCTATAAGAGACAAGTTTTATCCCGCTTACCTGAAGAAGCAGAAATGCATGGAGTTTACCAATCTGAGGATGGGGAATATGACCATTAATGAATATTATAATAAATTTATTGAGTTGATGAGGTTTGCACCTGAGGTAGTACCCACGGAGGAGTTGAAAGCCCAAAGGTTCGAGCAAGGTTTAACCCTAAGTCTTCAGGGGAAGTTGGGAGGGGTAACCTTTGAAACACTAGATGAAGTTTATGGGAGATCTGCCCACCTATATGGGATCCGAGGGAGAGAGTTAGAGAACTCAGCTGGAGGGAAAAGGAAGAGTGATGGGGGTTCACATGGAGTTGATAAGAGGCCTAGGATTGGGGAAAATTCTGGGGGAAGTAGGCAATTCAATAGGAGGGACAATAAGGGAAACCTTGGGAAGGGAGCTAATGGATAGGGAAATAACAATCGTGGGAATGGAAATAACACCAAGCCTAAGAGAAGTTATTTCTGTAAGAGATGTGAGAAAAATCACCCAGGGAAGGACTGTGAGGGAAACCCTATGACTTGTCGTTACTGTCAAAAAATGGGGCATCGGGAGTATGAGTGCTACACCAAGGAGAAGGATGTTAAGATGGGGAAAGTC